GATTTCTAAATAGAAAACACTAAATCCGTATTAATTTCGGTTTCCTGCCTCGTAATGGAAATTTTGAAATCTCCTTAACGGGGTGTGAACGAACAATTCGTCCTCCCTTAATGCCACTTAAAATACTCCCTGCGTTCATTTAAAATTACATAAACAAGTCCATATACGCAGCTGGATATCATACCTATTATTCATCCCCTTCAGAATAATATTGATATTAGGGCAAGTATGCACCTGTAATGGCATATGTGTACGTCATATGCGGATGTCAAAAGGAGAATGTTTTCTTTTCCGGCATATACTATTGGGGAAGTAAACCTTAGATATGAGGGACTTCAAAATTAAATGATAATAATTAATAGTCAATTTGAAATTCTTGCTGCTGAAAAGGTTTCTGTTGATCTTCTTTACTTCTTTAAAATATTAACTAGCGAGTGTTTCTTGAACAGTACATTGATCAAATGTTTGTTCTCGTTCATTTTTTACCAAATATTGAATACATTTCATGATAGTAATGGTTGAAACAGTTACTTTTTGTACACAGCAAAAACTAACAAGTAGGTACTATGCAAATTTTAACAGTAGCAATCAAAAAGTTCTCACGATTCTCGTGAAATTTTGAAAAGTAACAATCCATGAAGGATTTCCCCTCAGCATGGAATGATGAATTTGAACAAAATTGTGTTTTTTATAAACGGATCCATATTTTGATATTTTTATTTTGTAAACATATAAGCAAAATTAAATTTGAATAATCTCTATTGATGTCCGCTGTTGATGTCTGCCCTCTGTTACGATAATTTATAGGTAGTTCAATAGAGTTCGTTTGTTCTGGGCTTTCCTCCGTAATCGTTCCGTCTTTAGTTATAGGATCTGTCTCACTCTTAACGCTGAAATCATCACCTACTTCCCTTTGCTCTCCCTAGACTAGATCTCGGTAACTGTAGCCTACTCCTTCAATGAACAATAGTTTACGGAATATGTGTGCTTTTTTTGTCCTAGCTTCTACTTTCTGCCCTTTCTTCTTCAGATAAATCTTCAACGATTGACAATTTTTCCCTTTCAACTTTTTACAGTTCTTCAGAATATTTTGTTTTATGTATACATTAATTTCTTGTTCTGTTAATTGCATTTCAATATTAATATATTATTTTCTCTCACTGCTTTTTCATGTATTTTATTTTCAGTTTTCAAGTCATCAACTTCTTCTGATTTTTTCAACTTTTTTGTATTTGCATTAATAGCATATTTTGATTTCTGATATAACCTTTTACGGATCAGCAACTGTTATTGCACGTACTGTCAAAATTTCATATTTTTTGAAGAACTTTTACTTACTTCAACCATCCGGCCAAGGTAGATTATCGTGTCCCGTGAAATAAATTCTGATGTACTAGAAAAAATTCTGTGAAACTGTGAAACATGCTTATTCATGACTTTTTTCCTATTTTTGTTTACTTCCCATTACATCACTCTCCCTAAACAATGAAGAACGACGTCAATATTTTCAAAGCATATATAGCCACATCAGGTGTTTATTCATACACCTGTGCAATTGCTATATAGTATGTAATAAGAGAAATGTAAATATTGGCATAATATAAACCACTCGAAAATTCGCTCGTTACAAAGATACCTGTTTTCTGCTTTGGAGTGATAAGAGCCCAGAATGGATAGGAATTTCTAATGCAAAATGTTTGATAATGAATAAATCACCGACAAAGAATGATACATATATGTTTTTGTTAATACCGATTAAAAGGAAAACGATACATGAATATGACAATTTTGATTTGCATGTAGGAAAAGTATTCAAATTATATCGTTGTACCAGTTTACAAGGATTTTTTCCATTCAAACAGCAAAAATGCATATATAAACCCCAGTGTTTGAAGCGATTCTCTTTCATTTTTTCGTTTTTTTTTTCGCGTCTCTCGACGCGAGACTGATTCAACTTAAACACGTATTTGGAACAAGTTTTGCGCCTTCTTTAAACTTCGTCTTAAACCAGTGTTCCTTCCTATGGATGATCTCAGCGTGAGACCACTTGATGCTATATTGATGACTCCAAACATGCTTTGCTATTTCCAATTTGCTGGTTTCTCCTGTGCTCGGCAATGCGGATATTTATTGGCCTCTTTGTTTCACAGTTACAGGATTTGCGGCATTCAGTTGGAAATTGCAGTTCCGTACACAACATCCTAGTAATTCCATGATTACTTCTATAGGTAAGGTCGTTCTATCTTCCAGGTCCTCGTCTTAAGATAGCTTCCTCTGTATGATTTGGAGTGCTTCTTCGACCGGAACGTTGGTGTAGATAAAGACTTTCCATGTCGAAACTAATTAATTGATCTTGATTTTAGAATTATGGCTATATTTTTGAATTCAAAGTTTGCCAAAGTAATCCCCATTTATCCTATATATATTAAAGCAATAATACTGTTTTATAGAAAATTAGTCATGAAACAAGACAAATTTCAGTCGACACCTGTAAATTCCCATAATTCTGAACATCGCGTCGGGACGCTGGTACGATGTACGTCGATATATTTACTGCTGTTTCATTGGCAGAAGCTGTTACATCCCACGCTAGTCAAGATGGCGACAGCAAGAGGGTGACTTCAAAAATAGATAAGTACATTCAGAAGATGAAAATACGTCGTCTACAACATGAAAAAAGTACACAGGGCAGGTGCAATAATAATCAATGTACAGGGTGGTCCAAAATATACATATTTTACAACAATAAAGGCAGCTAATGACACTTAATTGTGGAATTTTCACTTGAAAGTTTATAGATCCTCGATATGTGTTTCACTTTACCTACAACTTCTTCAGACGTGTTCAATACTTCTAACAATTTTTTCATCGTGTTTATATACAACCTGTATTACAGAAATTTGAATCTAAATCTGAATCATAAGCTCACAACGTAATGAATTTTTACCATTTTATATCAAAACAAACTCATTGAACTGGACATATACCAATGACATTGTTCTTAAAACTTTAAAGGCGAATTATTCAGATCTAAACAGGCAATGACTAAGTGAATAGTCATTGTGCAAAAGTTCCAAATTCTCAAATCTGTTGATATTTAAGAATTCCAATAGACTCTTACCTTTTTCTTTCAAATGTAATACAACATTGAATTGGTCTCCCCATTCAAAAAAATACGTATATGTTCCTTCATTTTTGTAGCGCGTTTTTACAGTATGGCCAATATGAATTTTGGGGCAAGCGAACCATAAGTCAACTTATATACAACATATATACACAAGTCAGCTTATCACATAAATTATCTGCTTGTCCCAAAATTCATTTTGGCCACACTGGTGACGTGGCATTTGGAAAAGAAAGATAAGAAACACATACATAAAGCATTTATGATTCCTTCATCAGAGAAGGCTTTTCAAGAAGAAATGAGGATCATTAAGCAGATGGCATCTAAAAACCATATTACAGTCTACTCAGTTGAGAAAATCATCTCCAATAAAAACCAAAAATCAATCATGAATGAACTGGATCTAAATCATGAAGAAGAACCCAAAGAAGCTAAGAAATATGCTAGGATAAGCTATTCCGAAAAGCTCTCCGAAAACATAAAAACTTATTTTTCAAAATTCATCGTAATTACATGATTTACTAGTAAGAATAATTTGGGGAACATGCTATTCAACGCAAAACCCATAATAAGTGGAAAAAATCAAGCATATATATAGACTATAAATGTGGTGACTGTTCAGCAGCTTACATAGGCCAGACATGCAGAAATTTCAACATAAGATACCGTGATAACTACAAGAAACAAATCACACAATAAATAAAGAAAACATGAACATTTTCCATACGTGCAGTAAAGGAAGGGAGATGAATTTCTTGGAAGCATTAGAATTAAATAAATTGAATAAAAAACTCAATTTCAAAACCCACAATGACCAACTAGAACTATGCATCTCTCCCCTTTTGAATTTGTGAGTTTTGAAAACTAGTTCAGGATCCATTGTTATTTGGAGCAATGCACAAGTAGTGTTTTGATTTAATATTCAGTAATTTTGATATGTTATGGGAGTTAAATAATTATTTTTTTGTTATCTCAGATGAGGTATTGATGATTCAGGTATCATTTTTGTTATTTTTTTGTATTGCACGGTGACACCTAATTCTGACTTACTCAATTAGGACCCCCAATGCAGCATACTTTTGAAGAAAAAGCCACTAAACTCAAGTTCAGTGGAAAAAGCATGAATTTTTAGAACTGCCAGGCTATGTTTATTTTTGTTTATATTTATCACAATAATGTTTGTGAGGAAGTGTTTTTAAATCAATATTATCAATCAACAATTTCGCCAAACAATAATCACTTAAAGCAAGCAGAGGAGATGTGAATTGTATTATAACTCACGAGTTTTTGTTGCATCATAGAAGACATAGAAGAGTGAAAAATATAGAATATGAAGTTATTGGTTCCTTTTTACTCAATTCCTTGTTATAAATGAATATCAATTGGATTGGCACTAGTTGTTTTAACAATAAATACACGATACCGAATATATACGATACCGAAGGGATATATCCGGTTCAGAAACAAATATTGTGTGAAAATATCGCACCTGCGACACTGTACTTTCGACTGTTCTATGCTTTAGACATATTAGACAGTACCTTATATATGACATAGAATGGTAAAATATCCTTGTTCTGTGGACACAATATCAAAAAGATGTTCTGTGTCATTTGTCTAATTCTTTCCCTTCAACCAAAGTAAAATCCGTTCTGATCCAGTGTCCGCGCAAGAAAATCACTTCCATTTTCCCATGCTTGTGAGAGACATTTCTTCTGTGATTATTTCTTCAATAACTGGTCTACTGCGCCGATGGGAAGCAAAGATCATAAAAAAAAAAGAGAAGAAAAGAGTTCTTCTATGACACAGAACAGATCACATAAGTGTGAAGAAATAACATGAGTACACATACGTATATGACATGACCTTTCGAGTGTTTTTGACCTTTACGAACGTCATTGACTGGATCACATCATTTTGTTATCGCTATCACTTAAGCCGGCGTTATATTGCAGCATATTTTAATCTTAATCTTTTATCATTTACTTCGCTATTCTCGTCCTTGAAATTATTGAATTTGAAAAAGCAACTTTATAAAGAATAATAAAAAGTCCAGTGTAGACTTGTTCTCTTTCAACTGAAACGGGCAGCAATTGTGAAAGTTTATAACCATTAAGAAATCAAGAAAGAAGTAACACGTATCGATATCACAATGTCTTTGAAACAGACGACAACTATTCTACAAAGCAAAAATGGCATTAACTGCATAAAACAGAGGGCCAGGTAAATTGAATAAATGTGTTTATGTGTTGTTACATAACAGTAGAATTTTTAATTTGTAGTTCTTGGTGGTCAGGTGTTCAAATGGGCCCCCCCGATGCCATCTTAGGAGTAACCGAAGCCTTCAAGAGAGACACCAACCCGAACAAAATTAACCTCGGAGTTGGTGCATATCGTGATGATAACGGTAAGCCCTACGTGCTTCCAAGCGTTCGCAAGGCCGAAGATAAAATCAAAGCGAAGGGTCTAGACAAAGAGTATGCTCCTATTTCTGGTGTTGCTGAATTCTGTAAAGCCAGCATCGGACTAGCTCTCGGAGAGGGATCGGAAATTATTTCCAATGGTTTGAATGCAACCGTTCAAGGAATTTCTGGCACTGGTTCGTTGAGGATAGGAGCAGCTTTTTTGAACGGTTTCTTTCCGGGAAACAAAGTTGTTTACTTGCCAAGTCCTTCTTGGGGGAACCATCTACCTATTTTCAAGCACTCTGGGTTGGACGTTAAGACCTATAGGTATTACGATCCGAAAACTTGTGGGTTGGACTTTCAAGGAGCCTTAGATGATATTTCTGTAAGTATGGGGTGTTGTGGGAGGCAGTGAATTGAAAAATTTGCGTTATCCGTTTTTAATGATTCCTTCTTCAAATTTTTTATTAGATTGTTTGCTGAATGCAATCAAATATTTGTACACGATTACATCACATGCTTGTGATATGTATTTAAAAAATGAAATGTACAAATATTTGAAAAAGCATGGTTCTTGCCAATTGGTATTTTTTTAATGGTGTCCTTGGAAAACATGTTCACACATCATCATTCTGCTGTCAGCAGATACTTTTATCTGGTTCAAAATCAATCTAGGAGTATCTCAAGGATCCAAACTGGGCCCACTATATAGTTCTTCATCCCCCCTGTGGTAAACTTTTTGAATGATCTTTGTGCCATAAAAAATTGCACTAATTGCCTATGCAAAGGGTACAAGAGGATTTTGTCAAGACTGTTCATGTCAAGCATAGAACAGTAATGATATCATTTATTATTATTCTGGAAACAGCAAATCTCAAACACAAAATCAAGTAACTATTAACAAGGTCACAGTTATTGAAAAGGAACTTCATATCAAAAACGTTTTATAATTTGGATGAATTTAGTTTTCTTTTCTTTTGTAGAAAATTCCTGAAAAGTCAGTGATTCTCCTACATGCCTGTGCTCATAACCCAACTGGAGTTGATCCTTCCAAAGAGCAATGGCTTGAGCTATCCAACGTGATAAAGAGAAAGAACCTTTTTGTATTCTTCGACATGGCCTACCAAGGCTTTGCCACAGGCAGTGTTGACAACGACGCTTTCGCAGTGAGTATCATTTCCCATGAATGTCCCAAGCACTCCGCAAGAATTCTCACTATTCTCCCTGTAATTTCAGGTAAGGCACTTCGTCAAAGAGGGGCACCGTATCGCTCTGGCTCAGAGTTTTGCTAAAAATATGGGTCTGTATGGAGAAAGGGCTGGAGCATTCTCGATCGTAGGTGACTCCAAAGAAGAAGCCGATAGGGTAATGTCCCAAATCAAAATCCTTATCAGACCCATGTATTCCAACCCTCCAGTCAATGGAGCAAGGATTGTTGCTGAAATTCTAAACGATCCAGCATTGAGGAAAGAATGGTGAGTAATTTTCAATTTCAAGATGATTCCTAAGTTTGAGTTTTTTTTTTGAGTTTATGGGAATTGATATTGGCCTCGAAAAGGGTCCTTGTGGTGTGCAGATTTCAAAATCCATTTGCAAATCCTTTCCATGTTTCTATTGAACAAAAAAGTTTGCATGATTTTTCTCATTCCACTTGTATATTTGACTGGTTTTCATACTGGTGGTTAGAGGCAACAGCACTTTTGAATGAAAACTTTAGCTATTGGACAAATATGACAAGTGACAGTTCAAAATTATGTGAAATTCTTCCAAAAGAATATTATTTGAAACAGTTATCTGATTGCAAATTCATTAAGATTGAGCTAGTTTCAAAATAGCATTTTTAATACGATCCAAAACTGAAAAAAATATGTCATTTATTCTAAGCTTATTGAAAGAAAAATAGGTTTACGTTTTTCAATGAAACCAGATCAAACACATAGTGTAAACTAAATGCAACCAATGAATATAAACCTGTATTGTAATAAGAGACATGAACATGTGCAAAAATTGCAAATTTTTAGGTTACCAGAGGTAAAAGGAATGGCTGATAGAATCATATCAGTACGTAATAAACTTAGGGAGAACTTGAAAAAGGAGGGATCTACAAGGAACTGGGAACACATTACAAATCAAATTGGAATGTTCTGTTTCACAGGAATGAATGCTGAACAGGTATTCAAACTCAGATATACAAATTCAAATGAATTAACTTCAGATGAAGTAGTTTTTTTTTAATTCTGAACAGCTTTTTAAGTATTGTGGTAAATTTCAAAGGAAAAACCTCACTATTTTTGTTTTCAGGTTGAGAAGTTGATTAAGGAACATAGTGTGTACCTGACAAAAGACGGACGTATATCAATGGCTGGAGTAACGTCGAAAAATGTTGAATATCTTGCACATGCCATGCATCAAGCTACAAAATGATTTTAATGCCCTTTATGTTTCTATTTCAAAATCGAAGTTTTGAATGCTTCAGTCTCATAAGCATTTTTAGGTTCTAAGAGCAAACTTTCAACGTGTCATGAGATTTTATTTTTACAATTTTTTTTGTTGCTTAAGCGAGGTATATGATACTAAAAAATTTCAGACTTTTATTTCTACTTCCTGATTCCTTCTACTCTTGGAATTACGAGAATAATTTCGTAATATCTGATAAGAGTCACAAGATGAATCTGTTGGTGTTCAATCCCTGTATAAATAAAACAACTGATAAAAAATATGAATATATTAACTGTTCAAAAATAACTATTTCTTGGTATACCTATACCTACTCTTGGGTTTATCTTTTTGCTTGGCCAATTCTGTATCTTCTTTGGGCTTGTGATGCTCATGAATTATGGAATAGAGTGACTGGGCATCGGTAGAGTTTCCTAGAATCTCCTTTAGCTCTTCCTAAAAAGTAAAGTCCTTTCTAAATACATTGTCTGCAAAGTATTCGTTGTCTAGTAGTTTCTAAACGTCTAGTAAAGTTTCTAAATGTCTTTGAAAAGCAATGCTATAAGTCCAGGAGGCATATCAAGTATGATGATAGACAATGTAAACTTTCACCTCTTAGAATATATCACATTCCCATGAGTATTATAAATATTGTCTCAGAAATATCAGATCTCCGACTCCTTAGTAACCTTCCTACTCTCTCTAATTGTTCAGAGAGCCTCAGGAAGCAGCTTAGTACTAGCAACAGCACTAGCAAAAAAGAAGACAGTATACTGATCGACAGAACGTGATATCCAGTGCTCAAGTAGGCCAGAAATGAACAAGAGTACAACACTGATCCACATCCCACCAGTAGCATACCTGTCAACAATGTGTACCAATCGGAACAACCTAGTAACAGTGCGGACCAATAAGGAGAGAGAATTCGCATTGACACCGAGCCATTGCCCCCACTGTTGTTCCCCCACCATCACCCCCGCTACCCTCTGAAAGTATAAATACGAGTGAAAACGTAGCTCGTCAATCGTTTGTTGCCGAGACTTCAAGATGCAACTTTCGTCCTTGCAGGAAATGCACATGCCACTGACGATGTCTGCCGGAGTAGCGAACAAAATATTTGGTACTTAATTTTGTCTTCTCCGTCAAATGTAACAACCTGTTGTAATAATCAGACATTTTCCATTATTCATGTCAAATAGTATTCTTACTGTATCTTTGTTTTGGGTCGAGTTGAAAAACACTTTGCCATGACACTTCACATTATATCTTTTGTCAAAATCCGCTATAAATGTGAACAGAGTCGATTTATTAATATAACTGAAAACTAAAACAAACTGATTCCTAAAACGTGCCTCAGTCTTTTGAGCAATTTTATCCATGCTTTCACCCTTTTTCAAAAACATATCGATATTCTTCGAGGTAATTCCCGGTAGCTTCTGTACAAAATCATAAATATTAGAATTATATCTTGACTGGATCATATCCAAATCCTGTTCTCCCAGAGCTGTAGCATACTCGACATTCGGTTCTTCTTTGCCGGCCTAAAACATGTGAAAGTCAGAATGATGTGTTTCGGAATATGATGTATCACCTTCATTTCCTCAAACAGTTGAGCAGTTGCGTACGGACTGGGGCTCCAAATCAGCTTCAACTTTGGAAAATGCAAGGTCAACAGGAGTAATTTTTGTTGAATGTTGAAGCTGTCTGCATCACTGGACAACATGTAGTTATTCTGAAATAAAAATCTCTCAGGTTGTGCTCAGGAACAAGATAGAAAGAATTTGTAAATAAAGTGTTTCCTAATCACCTGTTAAATTCATGAGTAATAAGTTTCTCACCTGCCAACCAAATGTCTTATTTTGATCAAACTCTATCAAGAGCATCGGTTTTGAATAGTATCTAGACATGTTTGTGCATTGCTGGTATAACCTGCCAGTGTTTAAAGATCCTATCAAATCCGAGATACTTTTTCTTTCTACACAAATGTCCGGTGTCAGGATATAATCGCCGATCTGGAATACAAAATTTTATCCCAAAGCCAAATTAAAAGAGGTGGAGTATCTTTTCAATACATGCAGTTTTCAAATCCCACTCCTGACTCCAATTATAATATTGAAAGAGAAAAGGCAATTAGGCGCGAGGAATATGAATATCAGTAAACCCTAACCACTAAAAGGCAAAGGGCAGATGCACAAATATTTGGCAATAATCTTCACGTCAATAGTAAGATCTCAGAATCGATTTGCTTTGGAAGTTTGAGTAATAATATCGTTCAACTCAATGAAACATCAGTACATACCGTAATTGTCAAAGGCTCTATTTCAATGCCTCTTTTGTGTATGAGAGCAGGTAATTCACTCCTGAATTCTCTCATGTCAACAATGATAGTTTGTTTTTTCGGGACCAGGTCTTGTCTTCCGTCTCTCGTATTTTTCTTTGGGCTTTGTAAGTCTCTCTGTAAAGCTGATGCTTGCTCTGATTTCCCGTCTTGGTCTTCTGGAATAACCATTTTCTAAAAATAACAGTAATTCTTTTCTTTGTGGAAAACTTCAGGACGAACTCTAGATTAAACATACCGACTTTGTTTCAATCAAAAATTCAAAGGCCTCTTTTTCTCTTCGCAGAGTAGTTAAGTAGCTTTGTTCTTCGACTGTATCTGCGTGTAAAAGAAAGTAGACTTGTATCGGTGTTGTCGTTTGCCTGTGAGCTTCATACATCTGCAGAAATAATTTAAAATATCTTAGAAGGGAGTAGATTTCAGAGCCAATTTCAATGTTTCTAGAACAATTAAAACAATATTACCAACCTCTATTTCTCTAACCGCGGTCATACTGCAGTGATACAAAACTATGAAGCTTGGTTTAAGATTTTCCAAAGTATTTTGCAAGTTGATGAAATTTTCCGTTCCTTTGAATGTTTGTATGAGGATTTTTGGCTCGTTGATAGTTTGGCAAGCTTGTGTTAAATCCATATTTTCCATCTGCAAGAATCAATCATTGAAAACCGCCAAAACTCAGACCAAATACTCATTGGTAAAAATTCGTCTTAACGGATCGCCGCTAGGTGGCTACCTTGTATATGAATCGACATAACTTTTGATTTTCAGTCGATTGACATGACCCCTAGCGTCCGGAAAGGTCAAATAAAAATGTCGGAGAACGCTATATCAGCGTTGCCCGGGTGTTGGACGCTACCGATGCCCGAAGTATAGGCAAATGGCTTAAAAACACTATATTTCCGCACCTAACCTAACCCAACCCTACCTAGCGACATCGTAGCGCAACCTTTCTGCTCATACTTCGGGCATGGGAAGCGTCAACACCCGGAAGTTATGTCGATTCATATACAAGGTAGCCACCTAGTGGGGGTAGGTACGCTAAGCCGAATGTTAGCCCACTTACTTGCGTGAACGGCTCGAATATATACGCGGATTCGTCAAAGCTGGATTGGTTTTTGTTTTTTTCGCAAATAGTTTGACTCATCGTGAGCAGGTAACTACTTTGAAAGTCCTCCAATTCTTCTTCTTCTTCCTTTTCCTCCTTTACTTCTTTAGTTTCACTTTCAGGATTTTTAGTATCGTTATCTGCTTTAAGTTTTTTGCATTTAGTAGCTTTTGCTTCTTTTTTCTCAACAGGAGTTTCAACCACTTCTGGAATCTTTTCATTGACTCTGAAGACTTTGCTTATCTTCTTGATTGGCAGTTTATTTCTGAATGCTTTATTGAATAAATAAAGCTCTGGTCCATTAGTGAGCACCTTAAAAAATAGTTGACATGAGAGAAGCATATACTGCAAGTCAATTATCCAATTCTTACTTCTTTCAATTGGTAACAACTTCTATAATCAGTACAGAGAATCAGGATGGTGTTTTCCTTGGTGTTAGATTTTTTTATCTGGGCAGGTATCTCCACTCTTAAAATTTCCAATAAAGGCTCCCACTTTGGACAAAAATCAGGATGGAACTCTTGAAAGGAACATTTTTTAAACGAAGAAAATAATTCACATGGAAAAGAGTGATTTGATGAAGAAATTCTGAAGTGAATTGTCTTTCAACAAATATCGAATAGCATGAAACATGAATTTCAAAATTACCCAGAAAATGTAGGTATACTCTATGAATTTTCAGTTACACAGTTCACCAAACCAAATCTTATTAAATCAGGTTGTTTCAAAAGTTAAAAAGACCATAGTAACTGTATGGTGGACAGCGACTGGTGTAAATCACTTTAACTTTCTGCAGCCGGTAACGAAAATTTTATCAGCAGCAGGCGGCTGTCGTCAATAAAAGAGGTCCGATCCTGTTTCACGACAAATCCCGTCTGCACATTTCACGAATCTCCGTCCGAAAATTAAACGAATTGAGCGTTCGAAGTTCTACCTCATCCACCATACTCTCCAGATCTCTCGCCAACCGACTACCATAATTTCAAGCACCTCGAAAACTTTCGTACCGGGACCAGGCAAAAACGGTCTTCTTCGACTTCATCGAATGACGATCACTCAATTTTCAAGCTGTCGGAATCAATCATATAAGTGTTTACTGAGATATTACAGTTTAAAGTGGAAAAAACTTTTGAAACAACCTCATACTTCTCTTAATGGTACTGATTTACCTTTGTCACTGTTGAATATAAAGGAGTTCATCTGGGAGAATAATAACTCTGAAGTTTGTGATAATACCCAAGTAGCTGTCTGCGCATACTCCATTGTGCGGTATTTTGATACCACGGAATAAAATGTTACGGGGTCATTGTGAAACATTGTTCTGAAATTATGTAGAGTTCTTCAATAAATCAGATTAATATGTACCTACTTCAGGAGTCTTGGCACAATCTCTTTTTTGATTTTAGGCTAGTGCTAGCTATTCATCATTGAATAATAATAATAATAATACTAAGTGGGTTGACCGAAGTATGCTTTACGATGGTTGCCTTTTATAATAATAATAATAATATTTTATTGGTTCTTCTGGATCATAACTCAATGATATATAACAAGTCAGTGTAATATGTTATAAATACACTTATAAAATAAAAAAAAATTATGTATATATAGGATATGAACAGTTATGTTAAATTATATATTAAAACTTATAACTAGGTAAAATTATAATAAATTAACATCCCTGGATGACAATCTCAATTCTTCAGTTATATTTATGAGTCATTTATAAACGCTTCAATGGAGTAGTAGGCTTTATCAATCAGAAAGTTTTTTAGGAACGGTTTAAATTTTCTTAGTAACATTTTTCTAACATGATTCGGCAATTTGTTAAATAGCCTGATACCCATGAAAATTGGACTTGATTCTGATCTAGCCAGTCTATGATTTGGTATTTCTAACAATGTTGAATTTCTCGTGCCGTAATTATTTTTGTTTAAGAAGGTAAAAGGTCGCTGATCCGATTTTACAAAAATCAACAGCTGGTACATATAAATGCATGGGAGAGTTAATATTCTTAAAACATTGAATAGATCTCTGCAGCTAGTACGTCTATTTACACTCTGAATATTTCTGACAGCTCTCTTCTGTAAAATAAATACCCTTTGTGCCTCACGTGATAGGCCCCAAGCTACTATACTATATGAGATTGTTGAGTGTAATTGGGCATGATAGTACATGAGTACCACCGACTTATCTATAATTTTACTGAGTTGATAGATACAGTAACACATAGGCTTTATTTTTTTACATATTTCATTAATATGTTGATTCCATTTGCAATCTTCAGTGAGAGTAAGTCCTAGAAATTTTATTGAATTCACCTGTTTCATTAAACCGTGCTGTGATTTTAACAGTAAACTGTGATCATGACCATTTGGGGCATAACTAAATCTTAGGAAGGATGATTTTTCATCATTGCAGATTAATTTATTGCTAGAAAACCAATCCTGGGCTTTTAAAATTTCCCTGTGAGCCAGGTCTACTGTGGATGTAACATTCTTACCACTAACCAGTAGTGTAGTGTCATATCCTATTCATAAATTATATAAAGTAGAGGTCCCAAAATAGAGCCTTGTGGTACTCCAATAGTATACTTTAAACGTTTAGATTGATACTGATCTATATGAATGTATTGTGTTCGATTTTGGAGATAACTTTCAAACCATCTACGTGAGTTTCCCCTAAAACCATGCTTTTCCAATTTGTCTAGTAGAATTCTGTGGTCTACAAGATCAAATGCCTTACTTAGATCTAAGAAAATACCCAGAGTTCGATTACCCATATCTAAACTATTATACAGCTCTTTTAGTAGTTTTATTATAGCTTGTGTTGTTGAACGTCCCTTTCTAAAACCAAATTGATTTTCATTGAATAGCTTATGAAGATCAAAGATCGGAACGACTGAATTTGACACCCATTTTTCATAAACCTTTGCAAAAGCACTGGGGACAGTGATGGGCCTGTAATTTTCAACTTGGGTTTTATTTCCATTTTAATGTATAGGTTTTATTTTTCAAATTTTTAAGCTATTTGGGTAAATACCTTCTTTCAAAGAGCAGTTGATGGCAAAAGTTAGTGGGCCTGCAATAAATGCAAAACGTTCTGAGTACGTATAAGCTCAAAAATGTCCAACTTTACGATAGAGCTGTCAGTTGCCAGATTGCAACACTTGGGGTTGTCAAATCCCGAAACATAAAAGGCAACCCTCGTACATAATATATAAACCTGTATACAATAAAAAATAAATAATTTATAGATAGTCATATGGATTTAAAAAGATCTGAGATCTAGTTGGGGAATTCTTTGAAAGTGTAGCTATTCTTTTGTAATATGAGTTGTTTTATCATTTATTCAAACACATATGTTTTTACACTTTTTTACATTATTGGACAAAAAAATGTGTAATTTCCTGCAATTAAATCTTGAAACCTTCCTGATTTTTCATAAAATAAAGACACTTTACCTGTAATTCTACTCCTTTGTTTATCTTCTTCAATTCTTTTACAGTTATATTCATTAAATCCAGAATGTAGGTTTGCATTTTTTTCATTTTCTCCGAAATTGGGATGTGGAGTTCAATAACATTTGGCTAAAAATTTCAACTACATCACTTGAACTGGTAAAGAAATGAATTATCAAAAGACTATTGTGAAATAGTCTGTGAAATCATTCGAAATAGTTGAACAAAGGTCCACAACATGCAATTCTGTTTGAATTTTTTTCAAAACTTAGCCCGAGCTGTTTAAGAACATTTACCAAAACCATCATCAATCTACCTGATGTTTCTTGAAACTCTGTATCACAGCTGAATGAAATCTCGGCCAAATATACAGCTCCTTAACGAACAAAGCTCTCATGACTCTTTCCACATGACCATATCCAACAGTGAAACTTTGAACGTTGTTAGAAAAACCCTTCACGAATCCTGTCTAAAATAATCTGATAATTACAACCGATCAGATACATAAACAAGTGACAACCTTATTTTTTTGGCGATACAATCTCAACACAAATGCCTCTTGACAACTCTCGAATATTGAATGAGCTCTCAAAACAACAATACCAGTTATTTTATCGATAGGTATCCTATTTTTCAACATATCGACTACGAGTATTCTGGTTGTAACAAAATTAATCCCTCCCGACAAGTAAATGTCTTCCCTAAAACATTAAATTCGAGGTAAACAGATCATATAAATAACATGTGCAATAGACTGACTACGATTTACTAACATTCCATTTGAATCTTAAATACAAAATTCCAAGCTAGAGTACTGCATCTGAAACTTATCTAAACAAAGTATTCACTGTTCCAAAATCTACTGTGAAAGCTTTCATATTCAGATGAAACTTGCTGATCGTTATTCAAAGCTAAATAAATTATACCTCTATTTTTAGTTATTGCCATTGAATATCACTTTCACATAGGCATTTATCATAATAATAAAAGAAAATAAGACAGATCTTGTGCATAAACCAAGACAAACATATTGAATATTTAGGTATTGCACTATAAAATTTACCACCACTTCATTTTCAAAAGTTGGGTGGAAAAAATAACTGTTGAAGTACTAATCTTAAACCATTATATATTTACAGTTCAAGTCAAGATGAACTATTGCTTATTTCTTTTATAAATTGAATTTAGGACTACTTTCAGATATCCTCTTATTATTCTTTTAGAACAGTAACTGCACCAAATCCAATATTTCCGCACCTTTCTTTAACGTTTGTAGAGAACGTTGTACTGTAAACATTTGAATCTTTAAGTTTTTCTTTGTAATATATCTCTTCCTTCTCTGGCGCATTCAAAACGAGAACCAGGTTACCTGGGTCACAATAAACTTTCAGCAGGTTGGAGACTACCAAGTCCAAGTTGACTCCTCTACAAATGATTTCATAAGTTATGTATTACAGGAATATAAAGCCTGGACTGACTTGGAAGCAACAACCAATCCATCATTGTGAACTATATCTAAAAATATTTGAGTTTCGAACTCCAACATATATTGTAAATCGGTCTTTTCCACAAGATTATCAATATCATTAGTTTCCATGCTCATAGCCATTTGATTCAAGAAATTACAATAAGAGGATACTAAAAAATTAAAAACAAACCGATTCCAATTACCGGAATGCTAATGCTAGGTTATGCTTCAACGTTCCAAATTCTAGATGACCTTTACCACAGGGTGGCGCTAAAAGTAATAAAAAAACTAAGGAAAAAATTGGTTAGATCGCAACAATTTACTGCCTTTGACAAATGTTAGTGTGATTTATAGACTTTGATAATAACTCTAATATTCCCATTGCAAACGATCAAAAATAAGTATCCCAGCTACTTATTTTTACTCTTTCAACAGGAACACATTTCAAAGTATTTTAAAGTACAAGCATAAGTTCTCTATTGATTTTTAGTCGAGTAGGTCATTAGGAATTTTCAGTCCTACATAATGGATCATCTAGCTCTGTTGTAGTTGTTAGACTGAAATTATGAATTTTTTATTTTCGTGTAATAGTTATGTATGTATTTGCAGATGTGATAAACTCACTCATCCCATTTTTTGTGAATCATGTTCAGGACATTCGATAGATATAAATTGTATATAGTAGAGATTTTCATAAATTCAAAGTATTCTCCACATGAACCGGTGTTCTTTAGTTCACAAAATATTCTTATTGCTTTATTTTGAATTCCGAAGGTACTTTCCACGCCTACAGCATTCCCCCAAAATTCGAGACTAATGTTATTTTTTAATGTGCGGATAGCAAAAAGGCATCTGATCATCTTAGTATTCAATTCTCTCAGTTCATCATACATTTTTATCAATAAGAAAACCTTGGAATTCAATGGTATTATTTGAATCTATCAATTCCAAAGTAGAACTAATCTCGTGGAGGTTTCGAAGTAACACACTATGAGTTTTTATTCAATTCAGTGCAGGATAGCAAGAAACCAAATTAAACAGGCCGTTCATGATAACGCTAGTTCATGTTCTAGATATTCGATAGCTTTATGCCTTTTTATGATGCTGGTGTCATCAGTTAACTAATGTTGAAGTGCTAACTTATTTCTTACAATTCAAGGAGTGACTGATATTCTATCATTGTAACTGATAAATGTTTAGATTGTTAAAACAAATACAAAAAGAGAAGAATAGGAGCTAGTATAGACAAGAAGATTCCTGTCAAAGTTTTGAATGACAGGCACTGTTGACGTCTCGTTTTAGCGGGAAGGTTTATGTAATTTTTTTAGTACAGTGGTTTTGAAATGTAAATAATAAAATCAAAAAATGTGTGATGAAAAAATATCAAAGTTTTGTAAAATAATTTCAGAGTTGAAGGATAAATTAAAATGTACAATATGGTATGAAACTTGTTTGTTATCATTCCCAATTCAAATTGTTATAATTATTTTTCAGTCTTGATGTTATACAAGATTCCGCAGAATTGGCGTGTGGACACAAATTTTGCCATGGCTGTTATTCTGAACACAAATCGAAACAGAAACAACCTTCGTGTCCTCTTTGCAAGGCAGTTGTCCGAAGACGCTCAGTGATATATAAAGATGAATTTTCCGATAAACTCAGTTTATATGTTTCTAAAGTTGCTGATATTTTCAAAAAGGCATATGGTTGTGATGGTAGGGTAACCACAGTATGGTCTGCTTATATTATAAAATCTCATAACATCTAACACAATCCGTAGCTAATTGCATTACATTTAGTGTATACAAAATCATCCACATATATACTAAAAATAGTAGTGGCCTTGATACACTTCCTTGTGGAATATCATGGTCACTATCAATTGCTTCAGATATCATGTTATTCAATTTCAATTTGTTTCTTCTCTTCTTGTTATCCATAACAATGCATTTCCTGCAATACCAAAAACTAATTTCCTAACAAACCTTAAATCAATTTGTTTTGTTGTAGTCGAAAGAATGGTTTCTCATCCCGCAGCTGTAACCAAAAGAAAAACAAGAAACACTGAGAAAAATATTTCTGAGCATGAAAAACCTTCTACTTCAAAGAACCCTTCTAAAGGATCCAAAGTTATTTCCGAACATGAAAAACCTTCTACTTCAAAGAACTCTTCTAAAAGAAGAATAGTCATTCCTGAACGTGAAAACCCTTCTACTTTGAAAAAAAATTCTAAAGAATCACTGGTTATTTCTGAACGTAAAAAACCTTCTACTCCAGAGAAGACTTCTAAAGGAGTAATAGTATCATCTCGCAACGATGTCTTTGATAAACTCCGGATTAATCAATCCCCAGATAACTTGTTAGTGAACAGAACAGGTACCAAGAGAATATACCACAACAAAAAGAAACAACAGCAAGAAAAAGAATATACTCACAAGATACTGGACTTCGATGACCACGAGACCAAATATGATGTCTTGAGGTGGTTGAACGATACTAGAAACAAATTTGAGAGGATGACACTAACTCAAAGCTTTGACGTGGAAAATAACGATAACATTTCAACAACCGATCTAGTTTCTGTCTCCCAAGTCAGGCAGAATGAAAGCGTACCCCCTTTAAGGAGCACTACAAAGTGCAGACCGCGAGCTAGGTCTCTGGATATCAGTACAAAGAAAGTGCTAGATACAAGAAACAGAGAGGGAAGTTGCGTCGATGTCGCAGATAATTATGTTATAGAGGATGCCGATACTGAAGAAGAGAAAATTGTGAAGAAAGTTGAAGAAAACGTTTTGTTGAACATCATTGAGGATCGGTATTTGGATAAGTTGGAGAACGAGATACAAAATAAGGTAAGAAAATACCCCTTTTGGCTTCTCCTTTGTTTTATAAAGAATGGTGAAATTCCAAACAAGTAGAAAATGGTCAACAAGTTATGAAGTCCAACACGATTACTTCTCTCACTCTTTGCGACGCACATTTCACCTACCAAGTTGGCATCATCAGGCATCAGTTCATCTCCCAATGATATCAACTTGGTCGGCGGAATACCAACTGTTATGAGAGGATTGTGATATTCAAATTCAGTTCTAATTCAAAATATATTTTAAAATTTGCAAAAATGGGATATATTATCTCAACTCTCAACCAACAATTTTTTTCCTAACATTAATCTTCAGAATTTTTTTTTTCTTGAAAATAATAAGGTCAATTGTGAAACTACCCCCAAAAATCTTCCCCAAGAAGCCCAAAACACCCAACCATCTACGAGCGGTTGGGAGCGAATTGGAAAAATCAAGAAGACTTTAAGGAAGAAGGAGAAGGCTCCAAAGAAACTCAATATTACCGTAAAATCTTCTCAGGCTTCTCAGAAGAAAGACTGTACAGATTCAAGCATAAAAAATTCTGCCCAAAAAGAATCCGTAAGTCTCATGAAAAACCCGAATAGATCACGTAAGCAATATTTGAGAATTTTGTTGCAGCCTATAAATCTAAACAAAATTCAAAGTCCTAGACAAGAAGATCGTGTATCAAGCACAAGTAAGGCTTCAGAAGATAAGGTAAGAATTCACTTTTTGGATCATATTCGAGGGTCATCTTTTATGTTCTCACATTTTTCTGCAATACATTCTTTTTTAAAATATTCGTCACTAGCGACTCGCCCCGGCACCGCACGGGTGCAATGCTGATACTTAATATCCACCTTCCACGCGCCGATGGCCTCCCGGTCGGTACCGCCGCAACCACTAAGTCCCAGCATTTTAAATCTGTAATATCTTCGAAAATATTCATTTAAATTTATATATTGATCTATATTAAATGCACAATATATTGAAGGCACTTAATTGGATAAGGATGATTGATGTATTGCTCAAAATAGCTTCGTAAATAAGCCATTATTTCTCGAGGAACAACAATGGTTATTGTAGGTTATACCTGAAAGTACATTTAGTCCATTTTTTTATCTACTTAGTAGGGTTCAGCTAGCGTTTGAAATGTAAGCGCAAGAATATAAGTTCATTTACGACTTGACATTAAAAATCTCTAAAATTTTTAATGTTTCTTTACTATATTATGCATTTTATATACATATAAACCTTCCTCTTGAATCACTCTGTATATTAAAAAAAACCTGAATCAAAATCCGTTGCAAAGTTTCAAAGATCCAAGCATACATAGAGACAGACAGTGGGAAGCGACTTTGTTTTATACTATGTAGTCATTAAGATTTCATGAGTTCAAGCCCATTATCAAGACATTTTTTCCAATCTAAATCTGATATTTCGAAAACATGGTTTTGAAAGGCCCCAACATCTTGTTGAAATGATGAAAATCGGTATCCACGCTTTTTTGGTTTGATGTAATGAAACAAAAAAGTTGGGTGATAAATCAGGAGAACATGAGCAATGAGTCATCAATTCGAATTTTTCCTCTTTCAAATAATCAATCTTTAACAATAATCAATCAACTGGTTTAGTGATCAACTGATTTTTTCCCAAGAAGGGTTGATTGTTTCGAATTTAATAGAATTCTTCTTCAGAGCTCTGTAATGATGAATTTTCATAAACATTTCCATTTTGTGCATTTAACTTGCGTTTCTAACAACTTAACCATGCCATACAACTTGGATACACCATTATACACCCGAAACAAAAATACAGTTCAAACAATGGTCGGCAAAGGAAAAACCAGCTCCAAAAAAAGGAAAAACTGTTTTTTGGTTGGAAAAAGACTGTTTTTTGGGAAAGTCATGGAGTTATTCTAATCGATCATCTTCAAAAAGGAAAAGTCATCACAGGAGCATACTATGCATCATTACTTGCCAAGCTGAAGGCAGAACTTGAGGGAAAACTGCCATATTTGTGGAAAAAGAAAACCCTGTTTCACCAAGACAACACACTGTCTCACACCTCAGCGGTTTTCATGGAGAAATTCCACGAATTACGGTTTGAACTGCTTGACCATCCGTCTAAATCACTAGATCTAACGCCAAGCGACTTTTTTTTGCATCACCTGAAAATTGCGCTCGGAGGACGGAGACTTTCGTCAAATGAAGAGGCACTCCTCTTCAATTATTTTGCAGAAAAAAACGTCAAGTACTATTTGGACGGGTTACAGAGATGGGAGAATTCTGTAGACTTGAAAGGAGACTATTTTGTAGAAAAAAAAACTGAAAAAATGCCTTGTATATTTTTCAGGTCAGAAACTTTTAGGCCACCCTCGTATTTCAATTTTACGAGGAATCACGAAATCCTAATTGAATTACTCGTGCAGAAACTTCTTTTCGGATAGTAATTTAATTAAGAATTCATGAGAGTCAACTCATTACGGTGATGGAAGGTGAATTTTTGTGAATATCTTAATGGCACATTTCTGTATCGCCATCTAATGGTCATTAGTGAAAACATAAAAGGTTATCCTCGTAGGAGAAATAGTTTATTTAATTATTAAAAAATCGAACCCAATTTCAGGCTAAGGGTGTTGAGATTCAGAGAAAAATTCCCAAATATTATGATTTGAATGCACTTGAAACGTATATTTGTGAAAACATTGAAATTTTACCAAAAGACGATATTTTTGACGATAGAAACAATGAAGAAGATAGTGATGATATGTCGAACAAAGAAAATAACGAGAATGTAGTCAATAAGGTTGCAAAAAATGAGAATGTCATTGTACTAGAAAATATTGTTCTGAAAAATAACAGTCTCGACGAGTCTCCAACAAAAGATGTTGAAGATCCTTACTTGCTACCAACGCAAAAACTTGATACCTCTAATAATTCCAAGTCTAAAAATCAGGCTGACAACAATCCATTCATGATGCTCACTCAAAAAATCAGCACAGAAGCCGATGTTGATGACGTATTTTTGAAAGCAACTCAAAAATGCAGGAATCGTTCGAAAGAAATTTATGATTATGTAGATCTAGAAGAACGCTACGAAACGATCGAAGATGTATTCGATACTTTAGATAGTCATTTGAAATTTTGCAAGGAAAAAGTCAGTAGTACCTCCATATCAGATAAATTGGATATTGTCAGTCGTTGTGTGGCAAAATTGCGAGAATTCGTCACAGAAAAAACCCTTGGCAATACCTCCAGAGCTATCGAAATTACCTCGTTCCACGATCTTTGTGAAAGAGGTATGCAAACTTCTTTTAACTTGTCAGCTAAGCTAGTACAAACTGAAAATTGTGGAAATATCGACCAAGAAGTACAAACAGAAGATATCGATGAAAAAGCCGATCTAAGTTCTTCAAAGTCTCTTAAAAATGTCGGTCACATCACCCAGAATTCAGAAAAGGCTTTACACACGATCACTTCCGAATCCCAGGCGAATTTTGAAAACGAATCATCTGGTGCTCAAGAAAAGCAAACTGTAGTGGCTGTAACAACCCAAAACAATTGGTTCTCTGCTACATTGGACAATTTTTGTTTCGAAACTCAAGATATTACTAAAGAAAATGATAAACTGAATGTTCAACCGGAGACACAAGCTGAGACTCAAAAAAGATCTGTGACTAACGAGGCCGAAAAAGGATCTGTGATTGACGAGGCTAAAAAGGAATCCGTGACCGATGAGGCTCTTGCTCTGCCTGAAAAAGCTGATAAATCTCAAAAATCAACAATTTCTGTGTTGGTTTGTAGCTTCAGCTCTGAGAAAGCTAATAAAGTAAACCGAAAATTGACGTATCATGACAGTGTCAGTACGAAAAGAACTTTATCTGATAGTGATGAGGAGATTATCATGCCCAAAAGACTTTGCAACAGGTTTATTCGGGATGATTTGTCTGTAGAATTCGACGTCAATACCGAAACGCAAAATACCCAAAACAAGAAAAATGATTTGGAAATGCCTGATAGCGAGGGAGCCGATTTTGAGGTGAGTGTTGTTAATTTTTTCTATATTGGCGAAATACTTTACAAGATTATTCATCTGATTCGAAACTTGTTTCCTGGATTATAAGTATATATCAGACAAGTTGGTAATCAGATTGATTATCTTGAAAGATAATTGAATATGAACTTTTTAGTTTTCTTTCAAAAGTTCAGATAAATTCACAGTATTAGGTGAATAGTAAAATCTTCATGAATTGTGAATTTTGTACAGACAACTTACTCCTCAGTTATAATGAAAATATTGTGGAGTACCACACGGCTCTATATTTGGTCCCGTTCTCTTCCTGTCATTTATTATTAAACTAGCAGATCTGTTCCTCTTCATGATACATATATTTTCTTGTTTTTCTTGGATAATGAAGAAATGAGAATCAAAACTTGTGGAGACATGAGAACTTTACCAAAAAAGTGAATGGTCATTATATGACAAAAAGTATGAACATCCCTATTTTTGCAAGAGTGTAACTTCAGTCAACTGGAAATATATCCTCACTTGTATTGGTTGGTACCATTCCTTGATGATATTCATACTAGTAACATTCCTCTTGTAATTCTGTTCTGCTTTAGATATATTTTCAGTAAGTTTTGATGACTTCCGAAGTTCTCTCTGTGGAAATAAAATAATTGGCCCTTGAATAGAACCTTGAGGGACTCGTTGTAACTCACAGTTTATGAGTGACAAAAAAAATTGAATTTTACTTTCTATTTATAATTCTTTCTTTTCTCATTACTTCATGAACTGAAGTTTTTACAAATGTTATTCAGGACTATCTGCAGACAGTATTGAAAAAATATGAGGACAATAACGATCTTATCACCACTCCTGAAAAAACCGACGTTTGTCAGAATATTGAGGAAAGAGATGCAGAAGAGAACCCAACCGCGATACCTGTAAAAGATCCCCAACAACTTGAAGATAACATGATGGACTGCAGTGAGATAGTGGCAAGAGTGAACGAGAATATAAACAAAATGAAGCTCGACAATACCTCAAGATCGTCCTACAAAACTGCCTGTCTGAGTACCGAGCAACGTATGCAAAATGTTGACTTGGGTTTACACCAAGAACTAGATTTAAAAGAAGAGGAAGATGTAAGAGGTCAGACCGAATCTTCCGACATCATCGGAGAGACTGAGAGCATGGAACCTCTGCCTAAGAGGGCGAGGAAGGCGAACCTCAACGTAGGTTTCGATCAGGGGGAACAAGCTTCTAGTGCTCTCAACTTACTTGGCATAGCGAACAGCGAAAACAGGAAAGAAACGGTTTGTCAAGAGTTGGACGACAGTTTAGATGATGCGGAGCTTGCGAATATTCAAATATCGGAGGAAAATAGATTGCATGACAACACCAAAGAGCAAGGAGAAGAGTGCGTTGTGGAGATGAACGATGAAACTCTAGGCGCTCAGTTCAATGAAGAAGACTTATTTTCCGATGATGATATCGTTGAAACCACTCCTCAGAAAGAGAGCAGTCTTTTGGAGAAAAGGTAAATATATTCAGCTATTCTACAGGTAACAACAAAAGTCACAATAGTGATAATAAAGTCATAATGAAGCTGTATAGATGGCATCAATGTATATGAGCATGTACCTCTTTATTTGTTCAGAATTAACCGTCCTATTCATCTCATATTCAAAAGATAGGTATCAATTAGTGGTAAGGAGATTTAAAAAAAAACTGCTACTATGAAAAGTGTACCACAGGGCTCAATTCTTGGTCCCTTTTAATTTCTGATCTATGCCGATTATTTTTCTAAAATTATACCAAATGATATGTTGCTGACTGTATGTCTGCTTTGGGAGCTGATACCATTGAATTTACTGATGAATCAGATAAAAGGAACAAATGACTTATTTAAAACTGACTGCAGCTGCAGAAAAAACTGTTACAGTGCAAGGAGAACCACAGGATTCTTTGTTATTCCTGATCTATGTTGATGATTTTTCTAAAAGTATGCCAAATGTTATGTTGTGCTGAGTTGTCATGATGTAATCAAAACGGACTGCAGCTGCTAGTTTCAGAGCGAGCATCTAGAATCACTTTAATCCCAATTAAATGGACACAGTTACATCTGTGTCTCAGTAAAATATCTTAGAGATCGTATCATGTCAATTGGAAGTTCGAGAATATATTATTTTACCCATGTTCAATCAATAATTCTCTATGGGATCATTTTTTCCCATGGTCCAGTCCACTCTTAAAATATTTGTAAGGCAAAAAATAATAATTAGTTGTGATGATACTTTATCATTCAGCATCTTCTAAAAAAATACAATATACCTGTACCATGTTAATTTCACTTAACAGGACAAGAGTAATTTTTCAACTAACTGTAGTTCAAATTATTAAGGAAATTATTGATTGAGTAAGATCGCTTTCAATTACTGGCATGAAAAACATTTCCTTGATGCCCTTTATTATATTATTTCTAAAAGAATAACTCTCTCTCTCTCTCTCTCTGTTTAAAATCTGTTTTTCCGTTAATCAGCTCTCTCATTATAAACCATTTCATATTGTTACGTTTTCCCTGTGGGTTAACCAGTAATTGACTATACTGTACAATAATCAAAACTAACTTAATTTCACTGTTAATACAACCAAATACTCTAACTAAAACTTCAACCAATATTCGAATGTCCCGCACTGTGCCGTACCGCACTGTCACTTAAACTTGACTATATCGATATGCTCGTGGGTAGCGTTTATATATGGCAATCGAAGCGGTAGAGAATTCGCCGGAATTCTATCGAAACGACGCAAACATCGAACAACCGCGAAACGCCGGCTGGGCTGCCCGCGATCTTGGTCACGTCACAATTGATTTACGAGGGCCAGCGGCGGCCGGCGTTATTATTTTTTTGGGGGATGATTCACAATAATATTGTATAATTGCAGGTCTCAGCGTATACCCGCTTACAATTTATCGTTTCCTCCACCGAGTTTGCTCACATCTGATGACGTTATTGAAAACTTCAACTTTGACTTTGCTCCACTTCCTCCCCCTCCCGATTTCCAAGACACACCCCGTGAGGCCGATAAAGATGACACTGACCCAAGCCACATCACCATCATAGAATTGGAACAGACGCTTAAGGGCACTGCTCAGTCTCTAACCCCCGACGGGTTGCTGAATTATGAAAACAAGGAAACGGGATCCCACTTGAACAAATCTCTAGTGAAATCTGATTTGTTTGGGAAAGGCAGCTTTCATTCCACACCGCAGAGAGCAACTCCATTAGATATTCAAACCAAGCGCATCAGCAGCACTCAGCTGAGTCAGGCGAGCAACCTCAGCTGCACTCTGTCCCCCATAACTGGTGTCAGGAGTGTGATAGAGCGAGCGCAAACATCGACACACACTCCTCTAATGATTTCTAATCATTCCGCTCGCAAGCAGACCATCATGACTAGCACACCGAAGCAGAAGAGCATGTGGAATTACGTCAAGTCGCAGAATTCTGATTGTGAGCCTGCCAGAAGCAAACCTTGCATTGCTTGTTCTAGACTCAGTAAAGATAAGACACAGTCCATCTCACTGTTGACGAATAAGAAGTTGGCGACGTACAGTCAGGTGTTTGATAAGTGTGTTACGCACATGATTGTCACCGTAACGGAAAAAAATTGGATCAAGGATTACACGATGAAGTTCGTTGCGGGGGTGGCTGCGGGGATTTGGATTTTGAACTTCGAGTGGGTACAGGAGTGTCTCAACAGCAATTCCATTGTTCCAGAGGTAATTATATAGACTTATCTTCATTTTTGTACGAATAGTTACGGTAAATTTCAGGAAAAAACTGTTATAATCAAAATATAGCTAGAGGACTCCCAAGTCACGTGACAACGATCATCAAACAAATTGCATGACGTCACTGTCAAAGGCTATATTGATCGATTAATATTGTTTTATAGTTTTTTGAAATGAAAGTGGTTATCTATAGCTGCCTTGTATTGAAAACTGCAGTGGGAGACAGAGGACGAATGTCATTTGACGGTCCATGTCAAAGTATGGCAGCTAGAGACGACTGAGTCATCTGTCGATCTCATAGATGGCGCTTTATGAAGCAGCAATGATGTACTTGTTCATTTTATTTTATTTATTCGAAACATGTCATGTTAGGTTTCTTAGAATTATTTATTTTTTTTTTGTAATAGGAACCTTACGAAGTTTTGGATGATACTGGTATGCCTGGTCCAAAAACTGCTAGGTTGACAAGAAAAGAAAATCCCTTGCTGAAAGGTTTCATTTTTTATTGCGCTAATTCATTATTTTCTACTAGCAAAGCGGATGTAGAGGTAAGTTTTATTTTTATCTGGTTCAATATTTGTTTGTCTTTCAAAAAAAGCATATAAAGGAAGTATACACAGGGTGTTGATCGCTTTTAAGGAGTCGTTGACAACTGAAGAACTTATTCTGTCATTTGATAACCAAGGGGATGAACATTTCCTAATGATGTTTGGTGTTTTTTGTATTGTGTGAAGAACTGAAACGTTTGGTTTGGTTTTATCTAAAAAAATTTTCCATCTTTATAAACAAATCACAGCACACATTGAATATGTATATATTTTTTCTCTTCTATCACTCAGGGGAAAGTTTTTCTTGAACTGTCTGTGAATATTTGTATTTCAGGAGGTTATCAAAATGTTGGGAGGGAAAGTCGTTTCAACTCTTGAGAAATTGTCTGAAAAAGATGGGAAAATTGGTTTGATAATCACTGAGGGAAGGTCTACACAAGATTTTGAGGTTTATGAAAGTAAGTGAATTATCGTTTAAAATATTATTCGTAACAAAGTAGCTTTTCTAGCTTGGCTTGAAACGTACAAAACCGTCACGGTTGACATAGAATGGCTCAGCAAATCCGTGGGAAGGTACAAATTGCTAAGTATTCGTCCATACATTTGGTGCTCCGATGATCACCTGGACGATTTGGGATACCCACCAAATTTAACAGAAGCGGTGCAGTCGTCTTCATCAGAACAGTATTAAGTTCAAAGAACTTATGCATAATTTAAGATTACAATGTGATTTATTTTTAAGAAATGTTTATTGTATGTTGCATTTACATAAAAAATATAGTTCTGTTCTTATTTTTATATATTTTTTGTAATAAATGTCCTCTGGTTTTGTCATGTTGTTTCAATGATTTGATATTGAACGAAGTCCACCATTATAATGGTTTTTCGAAATAGTCTTCATCTACATTAAATATGGGAAAATTGGTGTTTGATAATAATCACTGCACTGCACTGATCACTACCCAATATTAAAATCTAATAATCTTTTGATACGCCTATGCTCCAAAGTGTATATCGTTATTGCGCATGTGTATCACACATTTTTAAATTTGCGTGAACTGTTGCGTCTCTAGTATCACAGAATTTCTATTGTGGTTATGTTTTGTTGATTCCCGATAAAAAAGTTATTCGCTATCTCTGCTCGATGGATTCTGATCCAGAAGAGAGAACAAATCACTTTTGGCGAGAATGACGAATCTGGAATACGATTAGTGCCAAAGATACCTTTCAAAACAAAAGTGTAAATAAGTCGTTGGTTAATACACAACCAATAAAAGACGGTAGTCTCATTTCAGAGTCTAAAGACAACAACTAACAACCTTGAACAAATGAATGAGTGTAATTGTTGACAGTTCTTAAAATAGGCGATATCTTAAATTCATCGATAAGTCTACCGATTGTTACTATGAATTCATGTATTGGTCCATTTGAAGCGTTAGCGTTTCTCTTTTGGGTAAAGCTACTGTTGAATTTGATAACTTGTCCAACGATTTTTCAGTGAAATTCACATTGAAAAACAATGTTTTCTGTGAAAAGATATGTTTATCATGAGAAATCAAACTTTTTTGGTAGTATCAATGATCTGCGCTTTTTAGTCTCGGTTGCATTTACTATTTTCAGTATAGGCTATGGATTGGTTGTAGGTCAGTTTTGGTTTCATCTGGTGTTAAAAACCATACGCTCACAATTGGTTTTTCAGAAATTCAATTTTGATGATGTTGAAAATACAGATGTATCTTTCATCGTTTTTAATCAAGCTGAAGAGTAAATTCATTTGTATCGAAATTGTCAATTATTTGGCTGCTCATCTGCTCAAGACGAAAGATGCTGCCTCTAGACATGAAACCCTAAAAATTCAACGATAGTGAGCTACTATGAATATGATTCATGAAAGTGAATTAAATACTGTTCCTTGAATGAATTTCAGTGAATGAGTGTAACTTAATGGCTTAATGCGCCTCAATGGAAGCAAAATCCATTAACATAGAGAACGAGTGTGTATTATGTAAAAGATTATTTGAACATAAATTTCAGTATTTTCTTTGCGTTCGAATACTTCCAACTTCCTCGGATAAATGTCAACTGCCATCTTCCTATAATTTGCGCATCCTCTATGGGAGGTCGCTTTGTTTGATCTAAAATCAAAATCCCGAGAAACAAAATGGTGTATTTATAGACGATTGATTAGCTATGCATTTTCAAACAAAAGTGCATACAAAAGTGCTTTATTAGCAAAATCATTTGCTAGCAAAAGACAATGTATGTGGAACGTGTACGACCGAATAAAACGCTTATCTTGTGAATTTTCGAAGACTAATCGTGGGAGGCACGATATTCTAAACACATGAAAAACGTAAATACACATTGGCTATCTTTAAGTTGCCCTATTTTCAATTAAAAATTCCGAGTTCAACTTCTCGGTGGCCCAGTGAGTGTTGAGAAGACAAGATATTTGTTGTTTTATTACATAACTTTCAGTTGTTTATACTTTTGATAACCTTGTTCCAGTTACAAAGAGCAATATTTTTTAAGAAAAACAGCGCCTTCACATGATCGTTTTGGATTGCTACGATTTTTTCTGAGGGTTGATTTACTTCCCGATCCTAAGTCATAAGTTTCAACTCCTAATAATTGTATTTTTCATCTGTTAAAACTAAAAACTCCTGCACATAGATATCAGTAAGTATATAGGTATACTATATCTTGCGAATAAATGCTGCTACTACAGGTTAATGATCCAAATGCTTATGACTTATATGGTTTGAGACTGGTGGATGAATCCATCCTAAGTTGCCTCTCTGGGTTTGAGAACTTTCAGACCCACAAAAATTTTTGTGGATGAGAAATGTTTAGAAATTTCCGAAAAAAAAATTTTTCTGAAAATTTGACTATTTACTAATTCAAGACGATCGTGGAAAGAAGCTACATTTCTCAAAAAAATATTGTTCGAGAGATATTTTCACTGAATATAGAGACGTGTTCATTTTTAGGCTACTTTTTGGGAGACAAGAACCAGATAAAGCATTAGCGATGAATGTTAACCTATGGCGCTGGAAATGCGGGGTGGGATTGTCGAATCGCTAATTTAGCAAATTGTGTTTTTGCATTATGAAGGTGAAGGAGATGGTAGGAGGGTGTTGTGTATGTTCTGATGAAAGAGGCTGGTCTGAAAACCCACTTGTTTACTGTGATGGACAATCTTGCACTGTAGCTGTTCACCAAGGTATTTATTCGAAGCCATCTACTAATGTATACGAGAATGTAGGATCGTTATATTCACACTTGCAACATTTAAACCTAAGTTTGTATTTGATTCCATAATAATGAAGTTGTAGTGGTTGAAAAATATATTGCGAATAGAAGTGGCCTCAAAACAATACCCTGAGGTACTACAATATAAGTTGCCGGTATTTTAGACAAACTAGGTTATTTAGCAACAATGAATTGGGTTCAGTTTTAATAGTTTTACAAGATTCTACAAATATCAGATCGTTAACATTACTGAAACTTTATCTAATTAAATTATGAATTGAATATAAATACAGACAAGTACAATAATGAATCGAAATTAAGTAAAATAATTAACTGTATTACATGAACAAGAAAAGCGATTCAATCCCAAAAAACTAATTGCATACGAGGTCTGTTAAAAAGAAGGTGAATTTTATTTTTTCTCAAAAAATATTCATTTATTCATCATTTTTGTTCTGTCCCCTATGCCAGCGTTCTGATATGCACTTTTTGGTATGTCCTTGAACTCTCTTAGCTATTCCATTTTTATCTCAATAGTCACAAAACGCCATCCTTTCATGGGTCTCTTCAATCTTGGGAACAGGAAAAAGTCGCAGGGGCCAAATCTGGTGAATACGGTGGCTGTTTTTGCATTATGAAGGTGAAGGAGATGGTAGGAAGGTGTTGTGTTTGTTCCGATGAAAGAGGCTGGTTTGAAAACCCACTTGTTTACTGTGATGGACAATCGTGCACTGTAGCTGTTCACCAAGGTATTTATTCGTAGCCACCTACTAATGTATACGAGAATACAGGAATACGATAGTTTTTTTTTTACAGTTCTATAAACTTTTATTTACACTTGGAAGGGTATCAGAGTATTATGGTCTGCAGATATTCTTGCAACCTTTGAACAAAAGTTCGTATTTGATTTCACAATAATGAAGTTGTAATTGTTGAAAAATATACATTGCGAACAGAAGTGGCCTCAAAACAATACCCTGAGGTACTTCAATATTGATGGCATTGTAGACATAAATTAATTGGAGATGATTCAACTCATCAAGATTTTGGAGCTGTCTTTCAGAAGCTCATACAAGTAATGTATATAAATTGTTATTTAGGGCAAATTCTTAGCAACAAGGAATTATTGAGTTCAGTTTTGTTAGAACCAACTGATGAAAAAGCATTGAATAAAGATATACAGTGCGTTTCTTTAATGTTCCCCCCTTATATTTTCTTGAACGGGTCAACTGAAAAAATTGAAATTTGATACAATGAATGCATAAATACTTTATTTTGAAGTAAAATTGACAGATAAAACTTTCAAGATGGCTACTGGGCGCAAGTTCAGTTCAGAAGATGCTCGAAATGGTTGCCTTGAACTTCTTGACATATGAACAGCCTATCCGAACATTTTCGAAAACAGTAACGTCAATATCTCTACCAATATTTATTAATCTCTGCCCTATATCCAATATTGAAGCAGTTTCGTAAACCCTTTGCTTCAAATAGCCCCATAAAAAAAGTCCAAAGGTGTCAAATCTTGCGTGCGGCCTGGCCATTCTGTACGACCTCGACGGCCAATCCAACGACCGGGAAAATTAGTATCCAAATAGTTTCTTACTTTTCTGGAGTAATGTGGCGGTGCTCCATCTTGTTGGAATACAATATCTACATCAAATTCATTAGGATTCGCTTCGACAATTTCAGTGATGAGAGGGTCAACAGTAGTTTCCAGCATATTCAAATACAGTTCCCCTGTTACATTTTGATCAATAAATAGAGGTCCTACAATATGGTTTCCCAATATTCTTGCCCAAACGTTAATTTTTTCTGGATATTGGGTATGTGTTTCCCGGAAAACGTGAGGGATGGTGTCACTTCAATTTTTTATGAACAAAAAATAACTTGAAAAATCTGTTCGGGTTGTTGGAATGGCCATATGTATTTGTCTTCAGGGTATTATTAGATGTACCGCCATTTTGTAGTAGGTGAAGATATTGATTTCAAAATGATGTGTTACAAACCCCCCCCTTTCCATTTAATTTTTTTCGCAGATGGCGCCCAGTTGCCATTTTTAAAGTTTCATCTGTCAATTTCACTTCAAAATAAAGTATTCACGCATTAATTTCATTATCCCAAATTTCAGTTTTTTGAGTTGATCCGTTCAAAAAATAAAAGGGGGGACATTAAAGAAATGCAAGGTATTTCAAAACCGACTTGTAATTTGGTCTCCATAATTCATTAATTCACAGGTAAGTCCCAATTTGTTTACAAGATTCTGCAAATATCAGATCGTTAACATTACTTTAAGGTTATATAATCGAATTATGAATTGAATATACATTTAGACAATTACATCGATGAATTGCAATGGAGTAAAATAATCAATGTTGTTACCACATGTACAAGAAAAGCGATTCAATCACAAAAAAATAATGACAAAAAATTAGGTGAATTTTCATTTTTCTCAAAAAACATATATTTACTCATTAATTTATATTTTACCCCCTTCAAAGTAGTCCCCCACCTGTGCCAGCGTTTGTTTCAATCCTTGAAACAATTTTAAAACGCACTTTTTGGTATGTCTATGAGCGTTCTCAACGTTTCATTTTTTACTCCTCAATCGTTGCAAAGCGACGTTCTTTCATGGGTATCTTCAATCTTGGGAACAGAAAAAAGTCGCAGGGGAGTAAATCTGGTGAATACGTTGGCCGAGGCATGATTACGGTGTTGTTTTTGGTCAAAAAATCACGAACAAGTAATGACGAGTGAGCAGGTGGTATATAGTGATGCAAAAGCCATGAATTGTGTTTCCACAACAACCGACGTGTTCTTTGTATTGCTTCTCGCAATCAGCACACAACTTCAAAGATAATACTGCTACTTACTGACCGTACGACCATGTGGCAAGAACTTCTAATGCACTACGCCACATTAATCGAAAAAAAACGATGCTATGCGACGTTGTTTTCTGTCAAAATTCAGCGATTTTAGAACGAATTTTGCTGCCACATGCTTCATGCTCAAAATTTTCAAAAAAATCGCTAGGCATGAGCCAACCGATATGCCGACATCCTCAGCAACTTGTCTAATAGAGACGATTCTCCATAAGAATTTTCTTCACACGATAATACAGTCCAATTTTAGTGGACTGTAATATCGGACAAAAATTATCGCGGCTTAAGTGGTTGCAACTTTTATAACTATAAGGGAATCGGAAAGGAAGGAGCTGTTGCATTACCGACGATAGGAGAAACAACTATACCTTAATTCAAAAAATAAATTCTATCTGAGAAAAATCCATAGGCGTTTTCTTATTAAAAAATGTCGAAGTCAATTCCCGTACCCAGGCCACTGTTAGGTTTGAAAACTTTCGTCAACTGCCAGTGCTTACAAATATTAGTAAAATATCCCAAATGATTTCGGAAATATTGAATAATTCCCCCCTTTTTTTCAAACTTGAACACCTCGTATTTTCGTAACGGAGCATTTTTGAACCGTTTCATGTAGGCTTACACCCTTGAGTATTCTCATATAATTGAAGAACACCCTGTATAGTATACAGTTATTCTAACAACCCCCTCCCTCCTCACATGAAGCAAGTGAGGAAATATTAGCATTATATGTAGTCAACGGAACAACTCAAATTCATATGAAACTTTTATATCTCTATTATGAAATGACACATATTCTTCAAAGAAGAACTTGAATTGTCTTGTTATTCAAAGAACTGAAGATTCCATTTTGTACTGGAAAACAATTACTTACCGTCATGATTACAATATAGATTGGAAGGGTGTTTTTTTACCACGTATACACCGCCCCCATTTGCTTTCAGGATCCTGGCGACGGAACATCTTGTATATGAGTAGTGCGAACTAACCTTCATTTTAGCATGGTAGTCGGTTGGCTTGAGATCTGGGGAGTTTGGTGGGTGAGACTAACATTCCGATGATCTTTTTTGGTGGGTTTTCGCCTCTGGGAAGTGCCTAGGTGGCTTATCGGTGTCGAATCACTGACCTGAAGGTGTTTGTTCTCGTAGAGGATCCACTTTTTATCACACGTGACGATCCGATCCAAAAAAGGATCGTTGAATACAAGTAAAGAAGAATAGACCTCGAAATATGACAAATTCGGTTGATTGTTCAAATCGTGGGGCAGCCACTTTTCGTTTTGAACCATCAAAAACTGCATGGGAGCTGACGTCTAGTTCTTCCGCCATTCCACCCACCGTTTGTGATGGGTCAGTCTCCAACGGGGTCCTCAAATCCTCGTCCTGGATTACAGTAGGTCGACCACTTCGGCCTCATCTTCGAGGCTAAAATCTCCGGAACGATATGTCGCAAACCAATGTCGAACATTAACACTGTCATTGCCAAATGCCTGAATCATTTTTGGTCTGTTTCGGCAGCGCTTTAGTCCAATTTGAGTTCGTAGAGAAAAATGGCGGAAACTCGCGTAACGACTTCTGAAAAGAGTAAAAAAAAATAATTTTGGAAAAAAATGAACAGCATCAATGTGTAGTGTACATAATTCTCTCCGGATCAGTATATACCATTACATGTGTTGGCTTTTATATGTGTATAATATTCTTCATTACGGTTTTCATGTTTTTCAGATTGCAGAAGGTAAAAATACCCAAAGATAGTCGATAAATCAATTTTTATAATGAGAAATATTTTTCTAATTTCATTCAAATCTTCTATTTCCGTGTTTTCTGAAATTTCAGTTTCATCATCTCCTTCGTGTCTATCTGTAATAGGAAACACCCTGTATATTTGTCTACAAACCGCTTTTCATTGATGCGGCCACGATTAAAGTGCAGAAAACCCGTCCGATTGTGTCTTGCATTGCTTTCAAAATCCAATTTAATATTACTGAGAAGAGCATTATCTCAGGTACGGCAATGAATGGAGGGTAAACATTACAAGGGATGAAGTTTATGTCGAGCCCCTACTTCAGAACCTCTTCTAGGTAAAGCGTACGCAA